AAAGATACCATCATAGGATGTAGGCTATTCCAAGTGAAGCTGCCTTTTCTAATTGCTTGATGGTGATTTTGTCAATGAGGATGGTCTTCAAGTGGTTTTGGGATTGAATCTAAAATGCCTATTTACTAGTGGCACTGTTTTTGTTTTTGTTTTGTTTCTGTTGCCACAGTCGTTCTATTTCTATTTGCAAGTTTGTTTCTGTTTTTTTTTTTTTTTTATTTTCTCCAGTTCTGGCTTGTTGGAATTCTAAACCTAAAGCACTTTAGTTTTCTCATTTTCTATTAGTTTGTCTATTTTGTAATCCTGTTATTTTCACAAAATGTGAAATCACAGCTATCACTTCTTTAACTAGTGTTGGCCTTCATCCACATCAAGTTCTTCCCACAAACCTAGGACGTCATAATCTCTTGGTGTAGTATATGTGCAGATACAAGCAGTGTTGCCTTTTGTAATCAATTGATGGAATTTTGTCATAAATTGAGGATAATCTGTACTTTATGATCTTCTCCAATGCTTTATCTTCTCTTCTACTGTATAGCCCCTGGTATTGCCACATCAATTATCCACACTTTCTTCCTTTCAACCACAGTTACAATAAATCTGGTATGTTATGAATCAAGATCTTTTATCAACTTGTATTTGGAAATTCCACAATATTTTAACCTGCTCATCTTTGACAGTTTTTCAACTCATCAAGTTTTCATTACTAGCACATGATAACTTTTATAGATGTTCCAGTGAATCATTCTGGTGACTGTGTTATGTTGTTGTTTATTATCAGTTTGTGCTATCTTCCTGCATGAGCTCCATATATGACCTGCTGTTTCTTTTACCCCTTTGCACATTCTGCACTTTGGGGCATTTAATGATTTTTCTATTCTGGCCTTGATTGCATTAAGTTGAACAACTTGTTCTTATGATATGGGCTCTTTTTCTTGATTTTTCTTATATTTTTATCCTGCCTTTTATATATTGTGGTCAACAAAAGATGGTAATACTTAGTACTCCTGCTTTCTATTTTCCCTACAACAATAACTCTGAGCAACAATTTAGGCTGAGAGAGAATGACTGGTTCTAAGTCCTCCAACTGGGTTTCATGCCTAAGGGAAGATTGGAATTCATAGTTTCCTGGTTTCTAGGCCAGCATGAAATTCCATATATACCAGATGTTGGAGGCACAAGAAGAGACCATTGTTTTGTCTGTTTTATTTTTAAAATATTCTAATCTGATGTATTCCAAATGTCACTGTCAACATTCCTAGTGAATATTGCCTAAATCCTTTGATATTTTTTTTGAAATAGCAACCACTGGATTACTTTCTCTATCCCCACCTCTTATTTTTCTCTCTTAACTAAAGTAACTGAGCAGTTATGATAGGATTTGGAACAATGCTTAACTCTTCCATGGCCATAACCCTAAATAGGAAAGGAGCTAAAAAAAAAAATCAATGTTGCCCTTTGTTTTCCTCACCACCTTCTTTGTATCACCTTAAGTGATGCCTTCAGGTCAGAACTGAAGTTGCCAAATAAAACATCTTTTACTCTTGGCCCACATAGGTCCATCAGCTGAAACTTGGTGGCAATTCTCCACTGGCTGGAAATCAGGCTCTTTGCAAAATGCATCTAGCTGCTCGCATGGCTTCAGGACATCTGTGGGCAGAACTAATCTTGCCTATAACTTGAAATCTTTAAATGACTTGTATTGTCCTTAAATGTATTTATTATTACTTTCCTTTTCTCAGTATCCCAGCACACTAAAAGCAACTATAACATTTCCATTTCAGGCTTGAAGTTGATGAGATATTTATATACCATTCGTATGATATCATTAATAATAAAAGCTAAGCACAGGTGTTGATTCTCTTCATTTAGGTGTGCTGCCGAAGGCAGAGTTACAGACTACCAAGCACTGTAGTGCTCCTATCTAGGCTTTAAGAAACCTTTTTTTCTATCCTAAACTCCAAAACTGTGAAAGTTATTAAAACCTGGCAACTCCTAGGACTTACTGTAATGGTAGCATTACCTGGGTGGGTCAAAAGCTGTGCAGGTCTTGCAATTTAAAAATAAAAAGGAGTGCACTGCTTGATATTTAATTTTAATCATCTTGTTTGACCAGTTAAAAAGGAAATAATTCATAAAACTGTTTTTATCAAATGAAAACCTAAGTACATAATGTAATTGCCAAGCTGATCACAGAGCCATCTGGCCATGAGCCAAAGTACATTCTCTTTGAAAAAAAGTTCTACTAATTTTCCAAGGGACTCACCTTCAACAGGAGTCACATTATATTTTTGTATGCGAACCTGAAATGATTTGGAATAAATCTCTAACATTTAATTATAACTTGTTTCTGAGGAAATTAAATTTCTTCAGTTAGCAGCACTTTTAATGAAATAAACTTTTGGGCAATTGAAATGGTAAGAATTTTTGATGCTGTAGTTAAACCAAATATTTATTTTTATATAATCATGAGAGAACAGAGAAAAGAGTGTCCTGAATACTTTTCCATCAAAAAGACATAGTGCTGATCAATCTGAAATTATTCCATATTATCCTGGGATTTACATTAATCTCTTAGCCTATATGATAGACCATTGGGAATTATTTTGTACAGACCCACATCAAAATAATATTTTTTCTCTGCTCACCACTACAAACTATCAAATGAACATTTTCAAAGACTCCAGAAGAGTCTTTTCTTTGGAGATCAGAAAGTCAAAATGGTGACCATAACACCAAAGTCCTAGCCCTTTTATATATGTCACCATGTAACACACATAAACAAGGGACAGGTCTTCAGTCAAGTGGTCCCAGCTACCTTCTTGATTTTTTTATCCCTGCCCTTCTGCCCATGGATACTCCTTTACCTTCAGCTTAGAGTATTGTTAAAGACTGAATGTACAGCTCCAGTAATAAACCCACATCTACACACAGATCTCATTTTCATACATATTTACAAAAAACATATTTATAAAAGGCACAACAAATTCATCCATGTGTTGGTCCCATAACAAAATGTATGCATTCATATCCTTGATTCAGAAACAATATGTCTTTGGGGGGGAAACTAGTATTGTAACTTTTTCATGGCCTCCTAGTGAGTCTTCAGGAAAATCTGGATGGTCTCTATGAAAGCTTAACAGTACTTATTGGACTCCTGATTTTATCCACTACACTCATGTTTCCATTAGAGTTGGAACTGCAACATTCACGATCATACCAATAATATAGCCTGCTCAAAATTGAATTGATGCTCTGTGGTTATATCCCATTCTCGTATTGATTTTTAAAATGTTCAGGATTTAAGAAGTCATATTTTCATAATTTTATAGTTTGTTTATTTTGAGCCACTATATTGTCAATAAATACAGAAAACAAAGAAATGATTACTGCATAAGCAGTAATAAAATAAAAAGCAACCTGTATATTTTATAGATACATGTATGCATAATGTATATATACAAGATTTCACTGTAAACTTTCCTCAACTAGCTATCCTTTAGCTATGATAAGACTTCATTTCTCAAGTTCCAAAACAGCAGGGCACTAGGTTGACAAAAGTTACCAAATTCAGCTTCATATGGGCAGAAAGTCTTTTCTGGCAATTGCAATAACTTTTGAAGTGGTACAATTTTCAGTGTAATGAGTTGAAAAAAATTCTACTCATAAAGCTGCAAAAGGAAAAATACTATGTTTCAATCAATTCAGAAAAGTACTATTCCAAAGCAATTTTAAAAAGAGAACTATATGGCAAGATGTGTCACTTGCCTCACCCACTTCAGCCTCTGGAATGCAAAATTCGTCTGTATAACAAAAGCAAATACAAGAGTATTAACTCTCATGCGCCTGGCTGCTTTTTTACCATAATTATTTTACCCCATTTTATTTCATTGTATTTAGTATCATTTTCATACTTTATATCTTTCAAAAAGAAACAAAAACAAGCTCTGAAGCCATTAAGGTAATGCTATATTAACTACTAGGAAGTTAACACTGTAGTCTGACTCAGTGAAAACCTTCCACGTAAGCTGAAGGAATAAAATAGGCAAACATTTGGTCAATTTCCCAAGGTAAATTTGCAGACAGCACCTAGTGGGTGTGGGATCCAGACAAACAAATATTAATGCGCTAGAAAGTTAAGCAGCAGTTTAAAGACACACTCTCTCTTCTGCTTTGCAAGTTGTATCCCAGCAATTTGCTTTGCTTTAAGCCAAGGCAGGTATCGCTGTTGGTTTTGGAACATATGCTTAGGCCAAAGAGACTGTTAAAATGACAAGGAACACAGCTGCATCTTAAAAGGGTAACACATCTTTAAGCAAAAGCCCATGTCGCCATAAATATGCTATAAACAGCTACATTGGAGGTAGAATGGGTGGGTCTTTAGAGAGCATCAACACCTGTCCATTTCTATGGAGATAACAGGTCTCACAGGCAGCAGGTGCAAAGTTCAGAGGGCAACGATTTAATGAAACTCGGCCCCACTGCTGATTCATTGCTGTCCAAAATTTTGCTCATTCTGACATCTTATCCTTTAAGGGAGGCATTAAGTTAGTGGTATGAAGTTAGTTTAGTTCCACGTTTAACACACACAGAGAGAGTTAGCCCATTAAATAGAAATAACAAATGGCGTTATTAGTTGTCCAAAACCCTTGGGGGGAAGTGGCGGCAGATGTTTATAATGTTTGCCAATGGCCATCTCAATCAAAATCTGCCAAAGGTGTTGCTTTTGCTCATTCAGACCTAAACTAAAATAAGACCTAAACGGGACGCAGCGAGCGTGGCTTTTCCTTTACTTTGATAGGAGAGTGCTTATTTTTTTATTTTTTTTTGGGGGGAGGGACTTCCACAAGGATATTTCGCCCATGATTTGAAGGCAGGACCTCCCGATTCCACTCTTGCGACCTGATCACAGATGCGCCCCCCAAGCGCCGCCCCCCCCCCCCCCACGCCCCACGCCAGCGAAGAAAGAGTAAGATGTCACCCTGTCCCTCCGCGGGTACCTCTTTGCAGGCGTGGAGATTCTCCCCCTGGGTAGCGGCGCCCGCCCAAAGCAGCAACGACAGACAGAGCAGAAGGAACGGCAGGCGCCTCCAGCCGATCCCAACAGGGTGGCGGCGGCAGCAGCAGCACCAGCATCTGGTTATCCCCTCAGCGGGATGAAGCCTGCCAGCCCCAGCCATGGTGGCGCAGGAGAAACAGCGAGGAGCCGGTTAGTCGCGCTGCGCCTCGGGCGGGCAGGCACCGATTCAGGTGCGACGGGAGCCGCGCTCTCGGGCAGAAAGGGATGCAAGGAGCCCGCCCCGCCCCCCCCCCCCCCCCCCCCCCCCCCCAGCAAGGCCTCGCCGGAGTCGCTCAAGCCACGCGCGCTGCACTAACGATCCAATCCTGAGCCGGGCAACGGGTGGCGCTTTGGAGCGGGCGGGGGCGGGGGGGGGGTCCGAGCGCAGCAACCCGACCCACTTCGCCCCTCGCCTGCCGGCTCCTGGGAGCTCGCTTCCCCCTTAACCCCAAGTTGTTCTCGGGCGCTGAAACTATTAAATGGGCTGCCTCGCTTCTCATTTTGGTGTTTGACTGGCACTGCCTTAAATGTTTCCGTTCCCCTGGGACTAACTCTTCGGAGTAATCCCGCTGGGATTTAGGAGAGGAGAAAAATTGGTCTTTCAGAAGCTATTCAATGCGCTTAAAGCATGGGCCGTAAAAATGAAGGCTCGACTTTATAAGCATCCTTATAAAAGGGGATTTTTCTTTATTTCGTGTGAAGGCGCTTTTCAAGCGCGTGCTGGTTTCTGTCCTTTCCAACCTCGCGCCGTTTTTTGTGGTCTTTTTCTGCCTCCCAAGAACTTCGCTTTTATTTCCAGCCATTAGTGGGTGCTTTGACACGTAGTGACCGGAAGACTCTAAAAGACCCTGTCGCCTAGCAACCGCCACCATATCCTAAACAAAACTGAAACGCGAGGAGAGAAATCGGCACTCGCAATTGACAGTTTTGGCGGCTGGCAATCCTACTACTGCGAAAGTCTGGAGTATGTCACCCGCTAGGAACTCTTTTCCATTCCCTAATTACGAAAATGAAAATACATACAGTGGTAATAGGAATGCACAGGTAAGAGAGATCCCTTTACAGAGAGAGAGGGAGGGAGGGAGGGGGGAGAGGGAGAGAGAGAGAGAGAGAGAGAGAAGCATTTGCATTGTGGTGCATTTTGTTTATCCTAATGAAATTTAGAAGCCAGATGCTATTAACTGATAGGACAGCCTCCTTTTAGAGTCTTAATAATGTTTTACAGATGATGCTGGAAACTACTTGTGAACTTAAGATACACATTTTATGTTTATTAATACAGGATAAAATGTGGAGATCTGACTTCAAAAATAACTCTAAATATACCTAGTATGTGCAAAATGCAGACCTGGGAAATTTATCCTATTTTTCTTGCTTTTCAGACAATTACTGTCCCTTAATGACTCATACACTGCTCAAAAAAATAAAGGGAACACAAAAATAAGACATCCTACATCTGAATGAATGAAATATTCTTATTAAATACTTAGTTCATTACATAGTTGAATGTACTGACAACAAATCACACAAAAATTATCAATGGAAATCAAATTTAGCAACCCATGGAGGTCTGGATTTGGAGTTACACTCAAAATTAAAGTGGAAAAAAAACACTACAGGCTGATCCAACTTTGATGTAATGTCCTTAAAACAAGTCAAAATGAGGCTCAGTAGTGTGTGTGGCTTCCACATGCCTGTATGACCTCCCTACAACGTCTGGGAATGCTCCTGATGAGATGGATGGTCTCCTGAGGGATCTCCTCCCACACCTGGACTAAAGCATCCCCCAACCCCTGGACAGTCTGTGGTGCAACGTGCCATTGGTGGATGGAGCGAGACATGATGTCCCAGATGTGCTCAATTGGATTCAGGTCTGGGGAACGGGCGGGCCAGTCCATAGCATCAATGCCTTCATCTTGCAGGAACTGCTGACACACTCCAGCCACATGAGGTCTAGCATTGTCATGCATTAGGAGGACCCCAGGGCCAACTGCATCAGCATATGGTCTCATAAGGGGTCTGAGGATCTCATCTCGGTACCTAATGGCAGTCAGGCTACCTCTGGCGAGCACATGGAGGGCTGTGCAGCCCCCTAAAGAAATGGCACCCCACACCATTACTGACCCACTGCCAAACCGGTCATGCTGGAGGATGTTGCAGGCAGCAGAATGTTCTCCATGGCATCTCCAGACCCTGTCATGTCTGTCACATGTGCTCAGTGTGAACCTGCTTTCATCTGTGAAGAGCACAGAACGGCAGTGGCAAATTTGCCAATCTTGGTGTTCTCTGGCAAATGCCAAACATGCACAGTGTTGGGCTGTAAGCACAACCCCCACCTGTGGACGTCGGGCCCTCATACCACCCTCATGGAGTCTGTTTCTGACCATTTGAGCAGTCACATGCACATTTGTGGCCCACTGGAGGTCATTTTGCAGGGCTCTGGCAGTGCTCCTTCCTGTCCCTCCTTGCACAAAGGCAGAGGTAGCAGTCCTGATGCTGGGTTGTTGCCCTCCTCCACGTCTCCTGATGTACTGGCCTGTCTCCTGGTAGCACCTCCATGCTCTGGACACTACGCTGACAGACACAGCAAACCTTCTTGCCACAACTTGCATTGATGTGCCATCCTGGATGAGCTGCACTACCTGAGCCACTTGTGTGGGTTGTAGACTCCATCTCATGCTTCCACTAGAGTGAAAGCACCACCAGCATTCAAAAGTGACCAAACCATCATCCAGAAAGCATAGGAACTGAGAAGTGGTCTGTGGTCACCACCTGCAGAACCACTCCTTTATTGGGGATGTCTTGCTAACTGCCTATGCTTTCCACCTGTTGTCTATTCCATTTGCACAACAGCATGTGAAATTGATTGTCAGTCAGTGTTGCTACCTAGGTGGACAGTTTGATTTCACAGAAGTGTGATTGACTTGGAGTTACATTGTGTTGTTTAAGTGTTCCCTTTATTTTTTTGAGCAGTGTATATAGAGAGAAATAGGCATTCCACCCAGATTAATAAATCAAGATGCACAAGCAAGAGACTTGAAGGCAACAGATAAATTGTCAAAATTAAGTGATCTTCTCTTGCTATAATGTTCTTCATAAAAATGCAAACCATAAAGAGAGCACAATGCAATTATTATAGGTATGTTTATATTTCACTGAGGTAATGAGAACTTCCTTAAACAAGGGGATTAGGAAAACAAGGGGATTAGGAAGACAAGAAAACACTGAACCACTGTAAAACATAACAATAGAATCTCTGTCAAAATGTATACCAAAGATCTGATTGGTCAGATACTCAAATCTGAGTTAAGCCAAGCAATCAGTTTTGTCCAGGTCAAGCATCAATTTTGGGTTTTGTTACGAAGTAGGTAAGTTAACATCAGTCTTCCCCAATGTGATGCCCTTCAGAGGTATTAGACTGAATAATCTGGCAAGATGTTTATGCATTTTATTCCAACTTCTCTTGAGGGTAACAGGTTGAGGAAGATTGCCTAAAATATGTTGAGAATTCTTTGTAACTACAATCTTAAAAACACAAGAGCAGTTCTATATAACATTTTATATTTCCTTTAAAGCAAGAATGATTTGATATTATCCATCTGCTGAAATCTGTTGCTATTCTGGGTTCCTCATTGACTGCCTGTCAGAAGGTTGCAAAAGGTGATCGATCACAAGATCCCAAGTCATTGGAATCATCAAATACATCCCAGTTGCCAAGTGTCCAAATTTAATTATATGACCATGGGGACATGGCAACTGTCATAAATCAGTTTTTTCAGTACTGTTGTAACTTTGGTCACTTAAATTGAGACTACCTATACACAGGTTTTTCTAATCAGAGAAAAAGTCAACTTCACTTAATATATCAGTACATACAAACCACGTTATTAACAACTGCTGATGCATTTAACAACTGTGGCCAGAAAGGTCATAAAAGCAAAACTCGTTTAGCAACTGTCTTGCTTAGCAATGGAAATTTTAGGATCAATTATAGTCATAAGTCAAGGACTAGCTGTATTTCTTTGTCTTACTGCGTGTGGCTATCTGGATTAATCCTATATTTTAAACATACACAAGTCAATAGGACTGAAGTAGTCATGAAAAGGCCAATATTTTGACTGCGTATGTGCATTTCTTGGATCCCAAGTTCAGTAATTAGACAATATTGGAAGAGATAATGTAAGTTAGGTTTTATGTTTTAATGACGTCAGTATAATAAGTTTAATATTCTTATTGATCCAGAAAAGCTCCTATTGCATGCCCCCCCACCTTTCTCAGCAACAAGACACCTGGAATCGGCTACATGGAAATGCAACTTTAGCAAGCATTAGAAGAGAAGTCTGGTACTCAGAACCTGAGGTAAAAAAGAAATGATATTGCCATCTTTGTTGTTTTTTCAAGGTGTCTTCTCTCTTCTTGAGCCCCTTACTATCCCTTCTTTAAAATGCCTTATAAATATATGTGTATTAAATAGACCAAAGGACACTTCAATTTGAAAATGTTTGTTTGGAATAGTCAGTGAGTCTTTGGAAATTTTGACAAGTCCTTGAGTCAATTTTTATCAAGCAGAAGTACACCTTTCTAGCTTTGAAGGCTTCTAGATGCATTAATAGGGAAGCTGTTAAATTTTGAACTTGATTCACATGAGAAACAGATGCATGGAGTGATCTTAATTTGAAAAGGAGGGAAATACTGTGTAAGGGATCAATTCCTTGAATAGGTTAATTATTAATAGTACTTTAAAGATTTGCAGTTATATTTTGAATGTAGTTACTTGTCAGTATATTCAGTTTAAATATGTATGATTAGAACATCACCTAATATGTTTACCAGCTTCAGAGAAGAAATTCTTGAATGTTTAATAGCTGTATTTGAAATACATCCTAACAATTCAATTCTATACAAATTAGATGGTAATATTTTATTTGTGGAATAAGGAATTCTTGGAAAATCAATGGGCCCAAGTTTTAAGAAATGCTAAATACACTTGTGACATATAGATGAAGTTACTTAATTAGAAATTCTTGCTTCATGTTTACTGAACTTTCCAAATAAAATTTTATTCCTAAGCATTTTTTGTCATGGCATTTCTCATAATGGCATTGTAAAATATTTCTGGGCTCTTTATATAATTTGGTTGTATTTTGTCAGTTTCATTTGATTTCAAATCATTAATATAATTTTAGAGAATATAGTTAGATATATAACTGGAATTTTAAATTGCATTCCAAAATTACAGAATTTTACATTGTATTAAGAATTCTCCTGAAGAGTACTTTAGTCTGAGATTGGTTGTTTTCTGGCATATGTTTCATTACCAAACTAGATACCATCATCAGTGCTACTATGGAATGGGGTTTGCTTGCATTTTACTCTAATTGGCATAAACATTGGGATCAGTTAAGAGAATCAGCCGATACAGGGAAAAAGAACACTCCATGTATCAAGAGTGAATTCTAGAGATGTGTTTTGATTTTTGAAATATATTTATACTATAGAATGAGAAGATAATTACTATAATTCTATATGGTCTAGATCTATATGACCAAGGTAGATAGATATTATATAGATTTTTCAAAATCCATTTTTATTATTTGATATATTTTTAATTATATTATTTCTACTAATTTCACTATAAAAGAAAACACAGTAGAATGAAGCAACTTATATTGATATATGAATTACAGGTGTTTGGATAGGGCATCTTGCTTTTCTGTGTTGTTGTATAGACACATTCTACTAATCTGGGTAGATATGTAAAATAGTGCCATTTTGCACCTTAATTCTGAGAACATTGCAAGGTTCTTACCCTGATACATAGCTTCATTTTTGTCTTCTCAGTTTTGCGGTTAAACAGGCAATTCCTGAAAAGTTTGCATATACTATTTCACTTTTAAAACATCTCTACTACACTACCCCTAATTTATGCTTGTAAATCAACATGCTTCCCACTTATCAATCTCATTTGCAGATTTCTAAAGACAGTTTGGATTTTAACCTCAGTTCTCTATACAATCATCATGAAGACCTGCTTAAAGACAAAAGTCAAGTAGTCCTCCATAAAGAGACCCTCCTGGATGAACATGGGTAAACATAAGTTTTTATTCTTCTAAATTTAAAAAACGAACATCAGACTTCAGTGGATGCATACTCTACTAGTGCTGCAATTCTTATAGCTATGAAACTAACAATAGGATGTACATTGGGTGATCAATAAATCCATAGTCATAATTCTATCAATCCTATTTATTAGATTATATTTTTACATTAAACAAGTGTCCACATTTCATTTTCTTCAGGGAAAATTTCAACTGGTATCAGGCACGTAAAATACGTATTTAATATTATTACCTTTATTGTCAAGAGTACATGTGTACAATGAGATATTAATATTTTCAATCTGAAATAAAGACAAATGCATGGGTGAAAACATAACGTAGATATTTCCAAGATCTAGAATGCAGTTTTTTGACTACTGTGTAGACATATACTTGAGAATACTTTAAAGTCATTTATCAGGATAGTTTAATTCATTTTCTGTACTGAGCAGGTGATCGGACTCCATAACCTAAATGGCCCTTTTTAACTCTATGAATCAATAATTCCTGTTAATTCTAAGTGTTCTCAGACATTTGAACAGTGTACTACTGTTTCCTTAACTGAATAGCCCTATCCTACTTCTTTTACTTAATGAAAGATTTACACAATTCATTAATTCACTTTAATGTTTACCATTCAACAATTATATCTGCCCAAAATGCAACACTTTCTTGCTAATGCATGTCCTTTGTTTTTGAGCACGGCAGAACACTGAAGGGTTTAGAGCCTGTGAAGAAATACGCTTCAGTTCAGCATCCTACCTCCAAGGGTATTACTGTGAAACACTGGGTTAATCCTGTAAAAGAATCTATCCACCACATTGAGGGAGCCATTGGTAAGCATGACCATTAAATGCCTTTTTTGATTGAAGAGGAGCTAGGATAAGAACAGAAACCTTTTCAGTAGATCGATTTCCAAATACCTTTTCCTCATTAATTTGGTAGTTCTTTAAAAAATGTTCCCAGCTGTATAACTTACAGTATTTTAAAGATAGAATCATTAAAAAATCAAGAGTTCTATATCTTTGTTCCATTGCAAGATATCAGTTGTGTGTGTGTGTGTGTGTGTGTGTGTGTGTGTGTGTGTGTTGGGGGTGTCAATTCTCAGAACAGTGAATGACAGCTGACAAAATGTTTTGTCTTTGTTTACAGAATCTCCACATACTGCTGCCACAAACAGTGGATATTCCCGTAAAGAGAATGGTGGGATCTTCTATCATTAATGTTATTTGCAGCGTCATGTCACAGTTTTATTCCCTTCTACCTGTAATTGCTGCCCATATGCTAACTCTTGGCTCACTGTATGCTTAGTTTTTAGATCATCCATTAAACCAGGCAACTTCACTGAATTTTAGTAAAAGCTCAGCTGTGCTGTATCTGAAAAAGCAGCTTGTTTTTGCCAATGGACCAAACCGCAAATGTATCAGACCTAATAAATTCATATATTTGATTAGGAGAATTCAGATAATAGAATCTAGTCCACTTTGGGTCAACTCCAAAAAAGGTACTATTTATTCTGAACCATAAACAATATTAATTTACACAATTTTAGCTAAAAGTATCTTAGTTAACAACTCCAAAGCAAAATATGAACATTGACTAAATCTTCAAAAAAAAAGTGTTTTTCAAAAACAAAATGCAAATAGAACTTCATTCCTAAATTATTCCTAATACAGTTATGGAGTACTTGAGAACACAAGTCACGACAAGAACAGAGTGATCCAACTTCTGAGGGCTAAAAACTATTACTGGTATATCAAGATCAAAAAGAATTCCAACAGGAACAAAGGCCAAATGCCAAAATACACAATTCTATAACCTTTAAAAAAAGTTCTGCAAGAAAAAAAATTGCCATAGATCAAGGAGACAGAGTATCTGGTGTCATTCATAAATGCCATGGCTGTGTGCAGACAGATTTAACAAAAGCAAGCTGAAGCCAAAGTTTGCCAATACAACTGAATCTCAAATCCAGCCCATTACTGAAATGGTATTTTCCCTTGGGGCTTTAAGCCTGGTACTTTTGAAACATTTTAGATTAGTTATAAGTGTGGGTGATAAGAATTTTTCTATACCTCCCAGATTTATCCACTTCCTGTCTCCTGCACAGAATTAATTTTTGACCCTTTATCTTCACATATAAAGCCATACTTTTAAAGATTTTCTCTCTTGTTCATTTTTTCATTATTTAGTATTATCTCCCTCCTGTTGCAGTTTTAACTACTGTAATCCATACTGCAGTAATATTCCCTTAGAATCAACCCACTCTTCTCTGCTGACCTTTTTGACACTCTAATATGTATTTTAGTTAATCTTTTCATCTATCTTCATATTATTGTCTTCTGGTTTCTGTGCTGTAATTTTTCTGTTTTTCTAATTTTTTTGTAGATTCCAGATAATTGTTTCACATTTAGTTCCAAGCAAACTATATTCCTTCTTGTATAGTATGAATATTAAATCATGCAATTTCATGAATAAAGATTCTAACCATTATATCATCTCAGTTAATTGGCATTAAAGGTTTCACTATATAGTTGTTCAGGGCATTTGAAACATAATCTCTTCCCAAGTCAGTTCTTGATGATTTGAATTGAAAATTCATCCATCTGAAGTCATTTTCTCCTGGTTTAATATATCACCATGCTGGCTTAGTGGTTTACAGACATGGAGATAAGCACTGGCCTAAAGTTGGCGATTAGCAGATTAAAACCCCCTAATGTTTTTAATTTTTAAAAAAATTAAACTTCAGATAAACACAAAATTTCCACTCTAAATTGCTTGGGGAGAATTTCAGTCGACACACAGAAAAAATGTATATTGCTGAACGTATTTTAGGCATTTTTCCAACCAACTGCAAAAATCTACAATTAAGCACTTATCTAAAATTAGCTTCCTTGTCCTGCTAGAATGATGTTTACGATAAGATTTTTTTTTAAAAAAAGTCTTACTACATTCATGTAAAGATTGGATTCAAACTGGTTACTCCCTGAACATTATCTCCTTGTATTCTGTGTTAGGGATATACACCCTAGCAGAACCTGCACGGCAGGCAGGCAGGCAGGCAAATATGTGATATAAATTTTTTTGTAGCTTACACTCAGTAAAACAGATACAATGTGCTAGTTAAATAGTTTATTCCAGTAAGATTTTTAGCATAGTCAAATAGTCCATATATCATACACTAGTTCAGTCCGTCCGGGGATTATTCAGTTGCAAAGTCCAGTGTCGAAAAAGAGGTCAGTAAACTTACAAATATCAGTCCAGTAATATATCTCTTCGCAGTAGAGATATGAAATAAAACCTCCTTTCTTCCTTCAGCAACAGTAGAGAACACACAGTTATCACACCATCAATCCATCATAGTCTGCAAGCAATCCAGTAAGCCAGCAATCAATCAAGTTCTCTTGCTCCCTCTTATGGCGATTTACAGCTGCACCCAAAATTACATGCTTTGCAGTTAAAAGTGACACACACTTAAACTCACTATCATAGTCTATATATATTATTTTACCCAAACTACGTTAGGTAACCTATGTTATTCCTAACATTCTCAAGAGTAAAAACTCTTTGCAAAGCCAAGTTTCATAGAAATTCTAATTCTGCTTATATTATTTCTCATGCTAGTTTAAGAAGCCTTCCAACATAGAAAACAGACTTTCCAGGGAGCTTTGGATTTTGCAGCAAGCAAAATTTTGCTGTATATCAGGGGTATCAAACTGGCGGACCGTGGGCCAGGTGGTCATGTGCAGGCCACACCCACTCCAGCTCTGTGAAGGGGGAAAATGATACGTCACATGACAGCAACATGGCGTGGTGCTGTATATTCTCTGCATTTACTGTCATGGAAAGATTACATCCCCAAAATATTGAACTCAAATATTTATTGCTAGCATAATTTTAGAAAAATATATGAGTATCTCATGCACCTTAAATAACATTAAAAATTAAATATTTATAAGTTCAACAAGCCAGACAATACATTGTGCTGCATTTGAAAAGTATATTGCTAGATCCTACACTTTAAAGTTGCATTTTTAACAAGCCAGAATGTAGGTTTTCCACTTAAGTTTGTCTATCCAGTCATGGTCAACTCTAGTGAGTGGTTCTCATCTCTATTTCTTAACTGAGCAAGCCAGAATTGTTCAAAGATGCTTCCATGGCCAACATGACTATACACTGAGGTACACAGAACGCTGTTACCTTCCCACTGAAGTAGTACCTATTAATCTACTTGCAATGGCATGCTTTTGAACTGCTAGGCAAGGAGCTGGGGCAAGTAACGAGACCTCACCTTGTCACACAACACTGCCAGCTAAACAAGCTCAGCTTTAACTGCTGAGCTATCATGCCCCAAAAATGTATTCTATACATGCATAATACTTATTTGCCAGGAATGCATACCAAGACATGAAAAAGCAGAAATTAAACTATAGTGTCAGTTGATGATGAAGTACAACCCAAAGGCTTCATCTTGGTCTAATCTCATTTACAACTGGGTTCTTGTACCAACAAATAAAAATAAGAAATATCACTAGGGTTATTAGTGATAGGGTTTGTCCCATTTCAGTAACTTAACGAAGGTTTAAGTGATATTTGATATTTCAGAGGGATTGCTGGAACTTTTTAAAACTCCCTTGATCCCTCATTATCGACCATGATAGCTGGAAGTTTCTCATTCTGTTTTATGCTGGAATTTTAATTGTGATATTAGAAATAGCATTTTTTAAAAAAAGCAACTTCTCAAACTTGTATGCGCACACTAGTTCCTGAAGAGGAAGCTCTTAGTTTGGAGCTGTAAGAGGCAGCACATTACCCACCATGCCATGCCCCCCTGTGCTTCGGATAAAATCCTTTTTTTTTTTCTTCAAACCGTACTCAGATCGATCTTTAGAGCATCGCCAGCCTCTTGAGCGCATTAATTTTTGTTAAATTTTAAAGAAAGCACACACAACTGCCGGCACATGGCTGCTGGTTAAGGAAAATCGAATCCCGACTTTAGTGGACGGCGGTGCTTCTAGCCCGAAGAATAAAAGGCCCACCAGAACAAAGAAGTTCCTCGGCTGAAGCCGGATCAGAATCGCTTCGATACACATTGGCTAGGAAGAGGAATTTTCCAAACCTCCAGCCTCATCTATCTGATCAATTCATCATCTCCGACAATACTGCCGCACGCCCATTAAACCTAAGCTTCTCTGTACAGCGCCAAGGGCTTCACAGAAGCGGCTCTTTTCATTTCAGGCCGGGAAGGCGGCGACATCTCGGCCCGATCAAATAAGATCAACGTGTAAAAGGTAAGTAATCGTTACAGAGCAGGGCCACACACACACACACACACCTCCCGATGCCTCACATAACACACACACACACACACACACGCTACAGACGCGGTTCAAGCATAGCCTCCAAACCACACTCGCTCCCACCCGCAGGAACACCACGCTCGCGCTCCCTGACTGCCAACACAAAGATGGCCGGCAGGCCTCCACGGTTTATCTACCCCGCCCGCATTGCATTCTGGGCATCGCACAGATCTCTGGCCGGCTTTCCGGCTTTCCATGAGATCCTACGAGGGAGGAGGGAGCGCTGCGCACCAGAGCCGGCGCCTGATTGGTCGAACTAACTAGTCCGTCAGTGTTCGAATGGTCGAAATTTCGAAACGAGTTTAAGGCTCCCGGATAAGAAGTAGTTTCAGAACAACGTGTGGGGGAGTGGAGTAGTTTCAGTAGTTGCCTTTCCGCTTAAATTGTACTGCTTTTTCATTTGAATTTACTCTTCTTCTGCCACTCATCCGTGATTATTTGTTGTGCTGCATTACCCCGTTCATCTCCAAAGTCTTATCGAAACTAAGCAGATCGGTAGTCGGTACAGTAAGCCATAAACAGGGTAACAGTACGTTCTGCTCGTTTCCTTTCTGGATGTACAGTAAAGGTATGGTTTTCTTATTGGAACTTCATAGTGTGCCTAAACGTTTTAACTATGGTGTTCATCAAAAAGTCATCAACAATGGGAACTGATATAAAAATGCATTCATTATATGTGCACAGTATTACATTGCACATTGTACATTGCAATGTCCTACCTCTCAATGAATGCTTCAGCTTCAACCTTAACAATACAAGAGCACACAATAGATACAAACTCAAGGTAAACCGCACCAAACTTGATTGCAGGAAATACGACTTCAGCAACAGCGGTCAATGTCTGGAATACTGTACCTGACTCTGTGGTTTCTTCCCCAAACCCCAAAAACTTTAACCTTAGACTGTCTACTATTGACCTCACCCCTTTCCTAAGAGGTCTGTAGGGGGCGTGCATAAGCACACCAACGTGCCTTCCGTCCCTGTTCTATTTATTTTTTATTTTTCTCATATGTATACATTTCATGTATCCATAACTATGTTTATACTTACACCTGTTATCTTATAATTGCTTGACAAAATAAATAAAATAAAAATAAAATAAATAAAGTATTTCATAATAAATGCCATCTATGTTAGACTAGCGAGGACAATTACAGCTAAAATTTCCTTGAAAGCGACAGGCATTTAATATTTGGGATAAATACAGAAAAAGAATAAGTCCAGGTTTTTCCCTCTTAGCTTCGTTTTTAAATACAAAGAAAGCCAAACTATTTGTCTAGTGGAAAGGTAACAATTTGCTCAGGTTGCAAGACTTAAAATCTTTGGATTCTTACTTTGCAAGGGTATAATTTACCTGATTAGTCCTTTCAGATAAATAACACAAGAATAACTTCAAGAGCAACAGAGAATATATGTATTCAACTTACAACCATTGCTTGGTGGCAGTTTGAAGTTACAACAGCACTGAAAAAAAGTGGCTTATGACTGCTTTTCATACTGCCATTGCAGCATCCCCAGTCACGTGATCCAAATTCAGATGCTTTGCAACTGGCATATATTTTCTGAAATGTTTTTGAAATGTAATGAACCAGTTTGATCATTTTTCTTGCATGATCAACCTCTTTGGAAAATAATTCATATCAGAGTGAAATGTGTATTTAAAGTTTAATCCCTTTTGTAACCTGCAATATTTTATTGAATTTTACCAAGTTGTATGTTTCATCTAAAGATACAGAACTAGTTGTATATGTTATCTGCAGAAAAAGTATTATATGCTTTTTATTGAAAAGGATGTTTGATTCCCTCCTTGGAAGAATGGCTGTCAAATTATAGGAATATGCCTTGATGTCCAAAGTAATTTCATTTTTAAAGAGTAAATCTTGATGCGGAATTCAATTTCTAACTGGAAATCATTTTCCATAGATCTTACTACACCTCAAATTTTTCTACACTGGAGTCTGCATTTCAATTTTATGAGAACTTTGATCTCTAATGTTGATCTAATTATATCCCATTTTTCCAAGTAATGTTTTATTTTGTTAACCAGTAATAGCAATTTTAGTTTTTCCTTTAAAATGATGTATTTCATAGCTTTATGGGCAACTAATATATTTAAAATAATTTTCATAACATTTCAGATAGTTTACTTAACTACCTTTTTATTCTTTTTATATGTATTTTATTAATTGTTCATATTATTTTAAAATGTTTAATATAAACACTACGAAACTTGGTCATCAACTTAGGTGGAGAAAGGAAATGAAGAGAAGATTTGGCGGATCAAGCACATTCACTTCCAATGGTTAAAAGAAATTTAAATATAAATTACAAATAATAAAAAACAGAACATCTCTAATAGCAGATATTTTTTTCGGAAAAACATTAAGATTCTAATATTTTCTTCCAGTCACTGTCTAGATAATTAGCTTTCATAGCAAATATGAAAATATGTCTTCAAATAGACAAGCTTTTTAAACTTACTGATTGCTAAATTATATCATGAATATGTTCAACCATTTATGCAATTTGTTAAAAGAAATCTAACATTTCCATTGGAGATATGCCTTGAAGTAAAATCCTCTAAATCGGGGTAGTCAACCTTTTTATACCTACCGCCCACTTCTGTATCTGTTAGTAGTAAAGTTTTCTCTAACCGCCCACCGGTTCCACAGTAATGGTGATTTATAAAATAGGGGACAAAACCCCTACCGTCCACCATGAAAGCTGGAATGCCCACTAGTGGGCAGTAGGGACCAGGTTGACTACCACTGTTCTAAATGCTGGAAGCAATATTCCACTACTCAAAGTAGCATCTCTATTTTTGTCTTCTCATTTCTACATCAAACTGACAAAAAAATTATTTCTATAATTTTTAACAGCAAGAAATCACACAGAAAAAAGAGGATTCAAATATATATCAGATAGGAAGTACAGGGAAGATCAAAAAAGGCAAATTTAGTCAAACACATATTGCTGGAATACCAAAGGCCAAATTATGGCTTCAGTGTTCTTGCTGATTTATAAATATGTAATTAGTACTGTGACAAAATGTACAATGTTGAAAAAGAAACTTGGCTTTCCCAGGTTAAACTGATATACAAAACAATGTATTAAAATTGTTTAATGCCAACTTTGAATCTTTCTGAATCAGTCTGATGCTTACGTTATAAACTTTAAACAGACAAGTCAAACATGCTCTTTTACAGTAATACTCCTATTTTAGAAGAGAATCTCCTACACTTCAAGCACATGGTGATAGGAGGTTACTATCAAGAATGGAATGAGGAAAATTTAAAAGTATAATAAAGACTAGAACAAATCTTTAAGTATGTACATTTCTCAAAATATACATGTTATCTTTAAATGTAATTTAAACATGTTAGCATCTCACATCTTATGTAACAGCATATGCTCCCACTGTTTTCTCCTATACCATACCACATTTTAAATTCTTACTTGCAAACTAGGTCTACAAAATAACATAGCATTTTAACCATACTCAGAATTTATATGAGATGGTAAGATTAATTATAGCAAAAGATAAGTGTACATCACCAAATTGTATTTTGTTTCCTTTATGTTTCAATTCTTCAAGAATTCCACAATACACACATGTTTTGTTCTATCATTGGCTAGTTTCTCATCTTCAGTTATTCCTGTTATAATGAGTTTGGGTTCAAAGTGCAGTAATCAAAGAAAAAAAAATCTATAGCCTTTCAATGCTACTACATTTTGGGAACAAAAGAAACACCAGAGTAACCTTTCCACTTCCATGTTATATCAAACTCTGGAAAAAGCATCACTCATTTCTACTTGCCACAAACCTGTGGTATTTCTCTTGTATAGACTAATATTAATTTTAATAATCTGTACATAAAACAATCTTTGGATTTTTCTTGAAACTCTCTCTAAACAACATTCCCTTCGTCTCAAGCAAGACGTGGCCACAGAAGAATTTCTTCTTGCCATCTGTATAGGTTCTTGTGAATTCTGCTAGGAGGTACAGTCCTCTGAAGCAAAAGAGCATAGTGTCTTCATTTAAACAGTTGTCCAACTGAAGCAGTGGGATTCATTTTATAAAGAGGACATAAAAAGCCATGACAATACAGGATATTGCCACTGCTGAATGAAGTCTGGTACCAATGACTGCCGCTGAAAAACATCAAAGACCATTTATTACTCAAACAATAATAAGCACATGTTATTTCATATAATTCATTCAGAATGAAGAAAAATAAAAATGCTTTCTTGCAATGCACAATAAGAGTGCACTGCTAACCTCTCTAGCTTCAAATCTTTTGATCTAACATTTCAAGCCAGTTTTTTGCATACTGCTCACAGAATCTCTTTTAAGGTTTTTCAACGTGTTGTTGCTGGCATAGAATCCTTCTACAACTCTGCCAGTACTTTTGAGATCACTAAAATAGAAGTCTACCTCTACCCAACTTGTTGATCTCCAACCAGTGAAAAGTGATAGTCACTAGCACACTGTCATACCACCTTTGTCAGTAACATAAGGTTAACCATGATTAAACCCTCCAGTCTCAACATGTATGCTAAACTAAGGCTACAGCTGAATGTAACATTTGCTTTATATAAGCAATATCAACCATTTCCAATTATATCAAAGTGTCAACACTCTCTTACTTTATCAAATAAACAAATGTAGAGATTTAAAGCTAAATCACAAGGGGAGAATATAGCAGATGCTTAATTAACTTCTATCCACCCAGGTCCGATTTACACACCAAGCTAGCTTCCATCTAAACCAGGGTTTCCCAAAATGTGAAGGGAGACGTGCAGAAAGAATTCCAGGGAAAGTGTGAGGTGGGGAGGGAAAGAACCTTTTAGTTGTTCCTTGTCACAATAAAACCCGCCTATTCCAAAGTTTTATTGTACCGTTTTCATTGCTCATTTGTGTTTGGATTTCTTTTTTAAGGGAGGTGTGTAAACTAAGATTATACAACCTAAAGGAAAGTGCGATGGCCAAAAAAAAAAAAACGTTTAGAAACCCTTGGTCTACAATCAGGGGTGTCCAACCTTGGCAACTTTAAGACTTGTGGACTTCAACTCCCAGAGTTCCTCAGCCAGC